CGATGCTGTAATAATTAATTAATTAATTATTACAGCATCGTACAATTCTATAATTCCTTTAAGTGAGTGTCCTGGCAAGAACAGGAAAAACCCCTTACCATTGATTTGCCACCGCTGATAATCACCCCAGAGGTGCCTGAACAAAAACCTTGGGGTGACTGACACTGGCTCTGCAACTCCTAACATGAACATGAGCTCTTTGGTTGTTGTAGCTACTCCTCACAGGGGAGCTGCTCCAGCCCCATGATCATTTTTGTTGCCCTTCTCTTTCCTTTTCCAACTCAATAATGTCCTTTTTTTGCATAAGGCAACCAGAATGGAACACAAGATTCCAAGCGTGGTTGCACCAAAGATTGGTATGAGGGAAATATGATTCTGGCAGCTCTATTTTCTGCTCTGTTCCTAATTATGCCTAGCATGGAGTTTGCATTCTTCACAGCAGATGAGCACTGGGCCAACTTATTCACTGAGCTCTCCACAACTACCCCAAGAACTCTTTCCTGCTCAGTCACTAATAGCTCAGATCCCATCAGCATATTCTTGGTTGGGATTTTTTTGCCCCAGCATGCATTGCTCTACATTTGCTTATAGTGAAGTGCATTTGTCATTTTGATGCCCATTCTCCCAGCTGGGAGAGATCTCACAATCCCTCCTGGTATTAACTACCCTAAACTGTTTGGTGTCACCAGCAAACTTGGCCACTTTACTCTTAATTCCAGATCATTTATGAATAGGTTGAAAAGCATTGGTCCAAATATAGAAGCCTATGGGACTGCAGGTGACTTCTTTCCCTTGGGAGGAATTGCTATTTATTCCCATCTGTCTTCTGCTCTTTAACCAGTCAGTGAGCCTTAAGAGGAGCCCCCATTTTTATTTCATCACTGCTTAGTTTGCTCAGGGGTCTTTGGTGAGGGACTTTGTCAAAAGCCTTTTGGAAGTCTTGAGTAAAAAATGTCTACTGAATCTCCCATTGACATGCTAAAAAAAACTGGCAGTAGAACTCTCAGAACTATTCACTGTCTATTATCTTTGCGAAAACATGAAGGACAGGGAAAGTGCCAGATGACTAGAGGGAGTCCATTGTTGCATCTGTCTTAAAAGGGGGGCGGGGGGAAGAAAGAACTTGGGAACTATGGAAAATTCAGTCTAACACCAATCCCTGGGAAAACTGTAGAGTCAATTATAAAGCAGTCAGTCTGCAAACACCTTGAAAACAACGCAATGGTTACAAGAAGAAACATGGATTTGTCAAGAACAAGTTCAACCAGACTAATCAGATCTCTCTCTCTCTCTCTCCCCCCCCCCCCCCCGCTCAGTAAAATCCCTGGTGGACTCTGGGCATGCTGGGGACATAATATATCTTGACTTCAGCAAAGCTGTTGGAAAAGTGCCCCGTAATAACAGGAAACAATATCAAGATTCACACCTATGAAAGGAAACCAAATGCATTGTTACAAAATGGGGTTTATTTGGCTCAGGGATACTACAAGTGGGAAGGATCTTGGAATTGTTGTAGATCACAAGCTGAATATGAGTTAATTATTTGATGTGGCTGCAAAAAGGACAAATAGTATTTTGGGCTGCATGAATAGAAGTATCACTTCCAAGTTGCAGGAAGTACTATTTCCCCTCTACTGAGCATCTTGTAGACCTCATCTTGAGTATTGCATCCAGTTGTGGATATCATGGACCAAGAAGGATTCAGCCAAACTGGAAAAGATTTAGAAAAGGGCAAAAATGATGATCAAGGGACCGGAAACAAAGCCATGTGAGGAGAGACTGAAAGAACAAGTATGAATTTAGCCTTGAGAAGCGAAGACTGAGGGGAGATATAGCACTCTTCAAGTACTTGAAAGGTTTTCACATAGAGGAGGATAGAGATCTCTTCTCTACTATCCCAGAATGGAGGATATGAAATAATGTGTCCAAGCTATAGGAAGCTAGATTTTGACTGAACATCAAGAAAAAATCCTTATATTACAGTAAAACTGCCCTTGAAATACTTCAGTTGGTCCAAAATAGAGCTTCCAGGATGTTCACAGGGACCATCATATATGCACACGTAACGCCAGTCCTTTACCTTCTACAGTGGCTACCAATTGAAGGTGTTGGTGATAACCTATAAAGCCCTAAATGGTTTAGGACCTGGTTATCTAAAGGAGTGCCTCCTTCCCTATGTGCCGGTTCACCACTTAAGATCTGGGTTAGAGGTCTTTCTTTGAGAGCCCTCTTTCAAAGAAATTAGGAGAGTGGCTACCCGGAGAAGGGTCTTCTCTGTAGTGGCGTCCTGCTGTGAAACATGCTCCCCAGAGAGGTGCGCCTGGCACCAACACTTTTTTTTTCAGCACCAGGCCAAAACCCTTTTATTTTCACAGTATTTTAAGACTTAAAAGCCCGACTAAAATAAAAATTATCATAAATATTATGCTGTGCCTTTGTTGTTGGACTGTCCTGAGACTTTTATGTATAGGATGGGCTATAAATGTTTTAAATAAATAAACAACAATGGTACCAATTACCTAGGGGGTTTGTGTGCCCTCTCATACTGGAGACATCCATGATGTAGCTAGAAAGGCATCTGTAAGGATCTTTAACTTAAGAGTCTTGCATCAAACAAGAGATTGGATCTGATGGCCATATCAGCCCTTCTAGCTCTACTATCCTACAAGTCTATGATTCCATGAAATAAGCTTCTTGGCAAGAACAGCAAAACCCCTAGATGCCACCATAATCACCCCAGACGTGCCTGAACAAAACCCTGGGATGACTGACACTGGCTCTGCAACTCCAAACATGACCATGAGCTCTTCTGTACTTGCTTTGAGAATCTTGCTGAAAAGGGGATGATCTAGCACAGTAACAGCGAACCTTCTAGAGACCAAGTGTCCAAACTGCAACCCAAAACCCACTTATTTGTCGCAAAGTGCCAACATTGCAATAAACCTGAATACTGAGGTTTTAGTTTAGAAAAAACAACTCACAGCCAGTCCAAGCAAATATATATCCTTGGCAGTGCACTGACTGGCCATGTGAAAGCTTGGACAAGTCGTAGCTAATGAGTGATGTCATTGCCTAGCACCGCTACTCCTTTCCGAGCATGCGTATGGCCCCTATGTGCGCTGTTATCCGATGCTCAGCTGCTGGGGAGATTGCTGGGGCGACTTGACTCACATGTCGACAGAGAGGGCTCTGCGTGCCCACTGTGGCACGTGTGCCATAGGTTCGCCACCATTGATCTAGCATTTTCACAAGCTTGTTTTCCTTGATGGCCAGGAAGACAAACTAAAGTGAAGAATAAAGTTCTAGGCAACCTCTTTGGGTTAGCTCATGACCCAGGTGAGGCATGACAGTCTGGTCCCAGGAAAGTACAACATGTGCATGTCTGTTTTTTAAAAAACAATGTGAAAAAAAATCTGCACAATTCAGTATCAAAAAGTAAAAAGAGATAATGACCCAGTCAAATGCTGCCTGGACAGTTAGAAGGGGCTGTCACTAGTTATCAAACTTTAAGTGCATTTTCCAACCTCCCCCTGCTCCCAAAAGGCTGGGGTCAGGGGGAATAGAAGCCATGGCAATCACAGCAGCAGGAGGACAGAAAAATCCACTGCAGGCTCTCTTGAGATACCCACAGGAGGACCAAGAAGGAAGAAGGGGCAGACCACCCACAATGAACCCAACTTTCTGTGGGGCACATTATCCATTATTCACACAACATCCAACTGTGGCTTATTGCCAGGGTGTGTTGTCATGACATGTGAATGTGCTCAACATCTACCAGATCACACCTAGCAACATGTTTCTCAAATCTGACATGTGAGTAAGAGAAGACTAACCTATGTAGAAGCCATATAGTTTTTCAACAAGGTTTACCCTAATATAGGACTGGAACTTTAACAACATTTTCCATTCATATATCTTGAAGAAGTGTTAAGCTAACCAGCCTGCAAATTGCTGGATACCCCTAGAAAATTTCTGGAACAGATCTTAGCTCTTATGGGTATATTACATCATTTGGTTAGGTAAACAATTTTACATTTGAGTTTATCAAGAACTCTTGGATGGACACCATCTGGCTCTGATACTTTATTTCCAATTTGTCAGTAAGGGTTAGAGTTTCATTTTCTGTCACCACTGTGTGCCATGACTTAAAGTAGACCTTCAAACTAATTCCATTCCTAGGCAATAGAAGGAAGGATGCATTTTGCCCCTATTAATAACTCTATTAGCACTTCTCATCAAGATAACAAAATAATAATTAAACTTCCTTGACTTGTCCCAAGAAATGTACTTGCAAGCCATTTTCCAGCATTTTGTCAGGCCCAATAAATTAGAAATCAAACAAACTAAGAATGCAATCCCGTGCATGCTTAATACCATAAATGGGACTTATTTCCATGTACAAATGTATGGGATTGTACTTTAAGATCTTCCCAAGAGGAGGCTCAGATTCCTGCTCAGCCATGGTGCTGGATGGCTTTCAGCAAGTTCCTCTACCTCAGGTTAACTGACCCTGCAGGGAAGTTGCAAGAACAACATGGCTGCAAGTAGCTCAGAGGGAAAATGTGGAGGGCTACAAATCAAATATAGGATGATTACACAACAGCCAAGCATGCATAAATGTCTCATACATTTTTTAAAAAATATGTCGTTGCAGACTAGGCCTTAATTTTAAAAAATATGCTGCAGCTGCTACTTCCAAATACCCACCCTGCTATGTACAGAATGCATTTTTCCACCTGTCTCCTATTTCTTATGCAAGACCAAATTGGTTTGCCTCACCAAGCTTGATGTCTCCATCGAGGGTCAGCAATACGTTGCCTGCCTTTAGGTCTCGATGGATAATCTTCTTGCCATGGAGGTAGTTCAGGGCCTCTAGCATCTGGCGGCAGATAACTTGAATCTGGGGTTCGGTCAAACCTCGATCCAGTTCTGAAAGAAAAGAGGTAATTTTAGAAGGCTCCTATGTTTAGATTCTTTCCCAAGGTTAAATTATCCCTTGAATATGAGATAATTGACACACTGTTATGGAAGAGCTTCCATATATTGTTAAAAAGAAAGCCCATCTTTAATGCTATTATTATTATAGTAGCACGAGAAAAAACAACTTTAAAATGGGCAAATTCATCTCCCATCAGTGCTGTGAACCACCCAGATTAAAAACATCTATTGAGGTGAGTTGCTGGGTCATACAAACCCAGGCTGCTTCTCACAAGGTGCCTGCATTTTGGGCAACAAAGCAGTCTGATAACCCATGGAAAGCTCTACAAAATATCCTGTTCACCACAGGCAGTGAATCCAGGCTGCGACTTCTAGTTCTCATAGACCCAATCATGCCATAGATTCTAATCTATGACTCCAGTATTTCCCCTCAGTGAAATATGGGCCAGCTTTCCCTAGAAAATGTTAGAGGAAGCCACAGCCAAGTTTAACCTGCAGTTAAAAATGTATTTGATTTGGATTTGAGATGTCTCCCAAAGACAGAAGGGCTCCTTCCATTGGTGGAAGTCTTTTAAACCAGCTGAGAAGCTCTCCTGGCACTGAAGGTTCAGAATATTTTTGCTGCTCTCCTCTCCCACTGCAGTCCCTTATGCTTCCAACCACCAAAGCCCTAACACATAGCCCCTACACTGCAAGTGGGATGGATACCCCTCCTCTACCTAACCCCACCCCCATTCCATTAGAACACAGTGGACAAGTAGGGGTGTAAGAGAACTGTTTCTAATCATGTGAAATTTATTGAGCAACAAATGTTTTATTTGCAAATTGGGAAATTTGTTTTATTTGTTTCTCCAAGGAAAAATTTGTGCAACTTATTACAAAATAAGAAATTAAGTACTTGTTTTCTCACACCTCCTTACATCAATTGTTTCCCCTTAGGTTTTGGTTCATAAAGAAGATATAAGACCCCATGAACGGGTCAGTGTTTTAGAGTAAACTAGCAGGACAAATGTGAGAGACAAGACCAGACAACACAAGAGAGAGCAGTGAAGTGGGGCAGTCATTCATTCAGGAGCAAACAATCATAACTGAAGGATCAGTGAAAGCTCCCATTCCAGAGTTTGGTTTCTTTCTCATCTACTTCCAGGAAAGCTGAGATTATATGTATTTATTTTTATGTAGTGTAAGCAGGTTCCAAGGGGGGGAAAAGGAAAAGGTTGCCATTTCCTCAGTTCTGTACTTGAAAATGCTTCTCAAAGGTAACAAAACTTGGCTAAGCAAGAATTTCCAAGCTCCCAATTGCCCATGCATAACAGCTGTCTGCAAGCAAGCAGTGATTGAGGATGCACTCATCAAGAGTACCAAGTGCATAGCTGGAATTCATTCGCAGTGATAAGAATCAGTCTTTTACCAATGACTAATCATGTACTTTATGTCTTCCTCTCTTTCTCGGAAGCCACAGGCTGGGTTTTTAGGCATGTGATTTCCATGCCATGCCTTCTCTAACAGGGTATAGCTTTATCACCTGCTACCTTGACCACAGAAACCAAACATTTAGGATTTTGAATGATGGTTCAGTTCCTCCCTTCTGCCCCGCCACATGCTGTTTCCTCTAAAAGCAAATCTTCAACCCTGGAAGGTATGTGTGAAACAGGAGATGTTGTGCCTGATCAAACTGAAGACTAAAATCTTCAGAAACTGAAAGCTCCCTTTCTCCTCTATCAGGAAGACCGGCAAAGCCACGCAACTCCTGGCACAGCCACCATTCACCTGAAAATTTCAGCCATAGCAAATCCAAACCACATTCCTCTGCTACAAGACAGTCTTTGTATGGACCTGCTGCTTTAGCCCCCTTTCCCCCCCACCCTGGCCCCCTCATCCCAACAATATGAAGCTATCATTCTTAGTAGGATCCTGGAGATAAAACACAGCACCCACAAGTTTGTCTACTATTTGGTGTTTTTAATAAAGCAGTGAAATAAAATACATTTCCTTAAAGGCAGATGGCTCCTCTTTACTTAAACCCTCATGCATACAGGGGATCACCTTCGTCCTTTTTGGCAAAGGCCTGCTCTCTGACTCCCTGCAAGGGTGCAGGGTGGTGGGATGCAGGTGCAACAACAACTGGCAGAGGTCAGTGCTCCTTTATCTACTGGCTGACCTCGAAAGGACATATTCTGGGACTTACCTAGCATAGTAGCATCCACTGCTCCACCAGGGCAAAACTCAATCATGATCTAGCAAAAGAGAAAGAGAATGGTTTAAATGGGCATGTAGAACATATATTTCAGAGTATGGCTCATGAGCCAGTGGACAGAAAAATATGAAGTCAGTTTTTTCTTCCCCAAAATGAAGTTACACTCATACTTACTTTTCACACAACTGAACTATTTATTAGCAACTTCTGAAACATTATTAAAAAGTTTTTGATCAATCAAGACTAAGATGCTTCTCTTAGGAACAAAGAGATTACCCTCATACATATACAAAAAATCTTTCATTAATCTCTCCCTCCCTCTACACACACACACACGGGAGGGGTGAAGAGAGGTGAACAGGTTGATTACACCTGCCCACTATATATAGATGTGTCTGATTACTTTCACTCACTCACACACACACACACACACACACACACACACACTGCAAGAGATCAAGACAGCCCAACTTACAGCTTTCCCCAGCAGAAATCACATGGCGACTGCTTCCCTTCGACATAGTGCTTGGGGAATTCAAAGCACTTCTATGGAGTCCTTGCAACAATCCTGAAGGGCAGGGCTTGGCAACTTTGGGAGGTCCACTGTATGGAAGATATTTTCCCCATATTGCAGATGCAAAGCTGGGTAGTGTAGAAGCTAAGAGGGGATGGTGGCTTGCCTAAGGCTATCGAGGGAGTTCACATCAAACAATAGCATGACAGCAAGAGGCATTTTGGTTTGCAATTGATTTTCTTAACTATTATATTACTCTTCTTGGCATTTGAACATCATGAAGGACATATCCCACAAGACCTCCAACAGAAAAAAATGCGGTAACACACCGCCTTAGTTTCAGTGCATGGAAATATCTGTTCAGTTCATTTACCCTCATAGACAAAATTAAAACCAGCCCACCCTCCATGTACCTGGAGGCCCTTCCAAAGCAGCTATAAGCCTCACATTCCACTTATGCATTTGTTTACAGGATTTGATTGCAGCTTATACTGAGGACTGTTCCAGATACTTGAACTTGCCAACAGGATGAGATTGCTGTCATAGCTGAGAGCTGACGTGGAGGCAACAGCTTGGAAGCATCTTAAAACTCAGTACCCCTTGCTCCCTTTTGCTTCAAGTTAATTGGATAATTAGTGATTCTTTATGGACTCTGCCTTTCAAAATGAATAAAGAACACTCATCTTTTGAAGATAAAGCTCATTGGTTTGTGGTGGTATAACTGTACTAAAGAAGATGCTTGTCTGTCACCTTCACAGCATTCTTTGTAATAAGTCCTTAAGCTATCCCTTGAGGTCACTACCAATTGGTCTTGCATTTTTATAATTTGGCTTGATCACAACCAAAATGTTAACCACACATTTCTGCTTACAGGAGCTACTATTTCATTCTGAACTCAGGGAACAAGATGACTATTTCAGAACAGGGCTTTATATATTACACCCAGCTATATAAGGTTTTGCAAGCAGATATCTGTATTTCTGGATGCAGTGAAGAGTGGCCCCTACCCCAAATCTAAGTCCAAGGAGTCAATCAAACCTTCAGACCCCAATTTTCTATGTTTAATCTGGCTTGCTCTATGTTGCAAAACAAGCCTCTACAACGAGGTAAACAATATGTCCCCAAGTTTTGACTATTACCTACAGCAGTGGGTAGGTAATGATATCATTTGGGAGGATGCCTTTTGAAGGATGAGCGGGAAGTGCTGAGATGCCCCATGTAGTTGTAGCATCACGTATCAAATTTCAGGTGTCAGGCTAATCAGGTAAATAATCTCTACTTAGCAAGTCAGAATCAGTGAAGCCAAGCAACATACCATGATCTAAGGGCACAGGAGGCAGCTACTGGAATACTGCCAGGAGCTCACCCCAAAATTAAGGGGTGAGCTAATGGTAGATTTATGTTTACAATTTTAAAACAGTATGCCAGGATCTGGGCTGCTCAGGGGCTCCATCAGGTGGCCAGAACAAGAACTCCCACTGCAGTATTCACAAGATTGTTCCAAACCCTGCTTGATCAGCCACCCGATGAGCTGGGAGTCCTGGGGGAAGAGCTATATAAGAGCAAGCTCTTCCCTTCAGAAGTTGCCCTAGCAACAGAGGTCATCCTGTTTGCTGGAATGCCTTCATCTTTCCTGCCTTGCTGTATGTATCCTGCTTCACTGTCCCACCTCAGCAATGTAGGTCTTCCTGCTATCTGTGGTATGGTCCCAGTGTCCACATCCTGCCTGACCCTTACTGCATCTAGTTCCTGCTATGTCCTACCTTTTTGTTTTGTGCCTTGCTGTCTCACCTCAGTAGTACTGGTTTTCCTTCTAGTTGTGGTTCAGCTATTATATCTTGCCTGACCCTAGTTGGATCTGGTTCCTGCTGTGCCCTGTTGCATTGTGCCTTGCCACCTTGCCTTGCTTGACACACTTTCATAGCTCCTGAATCCCATCGAGTTATTCTCCCTCAGGTACCTGCTCTTGCTGTTTTCCTGGTTCTCAGCCAGTGGCTTGTGCATGAGTGTGTCTTTGTCTTGCTCTAATACATACTTCTTGGCATGTTCTGTGATTATGACTTGGACTTGCTATTGGACCTTGCTATTGAACTTTGCCTCCAACCCAACTGCCAGGCTCTGACCAGTGCTTGGACTTTGCCCCTGCCTTGAGTTCTGTTGCCTTGCTCCTGGTGTCTCTGTCTTGACTCCTGCCACTGATGCACCAGATCCTGACACAGTATGCACAATTCCTGATCATAATGTATGGGTGTGAAAGCTAAAAGGAAGAAAATCAGTGAAGTCAAAATATAGTGCTAGAGAAGAGCTTTGAGAATTCTTTGGCCCAACAGAAAAGGAAATAAGTGGGTCCTAAGTCAAATTGAGCTAGAACTTACCCTAGAAACAATAATGATGAAACTAAGTTGTACTTAAGGCATATTATGAGAAGGAGGACTCACTGGAGAAGGCAATAATGCCAGAGAAAGCCAAAGGCAGAAGAAAAAAAGCAAGACCAAATATGAGATGGGTTGACTCCATAAAGGAAATGCGCAACCTTGAGTTCATGAGAACTGAACAGTGTTATCAAGGACAGGGTATCTTGGAGGGCATGCATTCATTCATACTGTTGCCAGTCAGACATGACTTGATAGCATGTAACAACAACACCACGCACAATAACAAGGGCCACTCATGGTGAAGAGCTAATGAACAACTCTGGGTGCACCAGTGAGCCTTGAGTGCAAACAGAAGTTACAGGGATAGTGGGCTGAGGGGGAGAGGAATGTTTCCTAGCAGCCAGGTGGAACCAAATAAGCGTCCTTTCAGCCTGGGTTTCCTATGTATGAAAAAATGAGCATGTTCTGTGCATTCCATAGTAGAAGTGGCTAACTTTACATAAAAACCTGCCCTGATTTTCCCTTCATTTTCAATTCAGTCTGCTTTATTTAGCAACTTCAAGTAACAGCCATCACTATACTAAAGCTGGTTCTGATCAATGCCTTCAGGGAAGACCACCTGGGAAACTCATGGACATTGCCTTGAACTCCACAAAGAAAGAAAGATATGATTTAAATGTACAAATATATATCTGGAGAGGGCAATGAACATGTCCAGTAAGAACTGCTTTACTGACATTCCTTAGCCATTAGATGAACATTCAGCAGATTTGGAGGTGGGTTTTTTGTGTTGTTTTTTACGTACTTCCAGTCAAAGGTAGGTCCCTGGAATTAAACTAGCATCAGTCTAGTAGTACTCAGCAACACATTTGCAGAGAGCAGAATCAGCCTTGAAAGGCTGATTCTACCCCACTTAGCCATGTCTAACCTGGACCACAGTGGTTTGAGCTTCACTCTTTGTCAGAGGCCACATGTTCCAATTACAGCAAATGCATTTTCTGATTCATCTATGAGTCAATTTCTCAAGTATCACTTACTGTTGTTCATCTATCCATACAGCGTGTGTTGGCACATGCCTGACTGTGGCTAGAAGTAGCCTCTTGAAACAATTTCAGGATATCATCTAGTTAATGCTAGATAGACACTACAAAACCAATCACACAAGCACAGAATAGTAGAGTTGGAAGAGGCCAGAAGGTCCTACCCTTTGCTCAGTGCAGAACTCCAAATTAAACCCATCCCTCTCAGAGGGCTGTCCAGTTGCATCTTGAATGCCTCTAGTGTGGGAAAACCCACAATCTCCTGGGATAATTGGATCCATTGTCACACTGCTAAATGTTACAAATACCACTGTTCTCTTCATGATAAGTCATTTTATTGCTACCCATACACTGAAAATTTAAGTCATAAAACAGTTACTTATCACAGTAGAAAATGTTTGTTACAGTGGGAGTACTTAAAGCTTTATGAGTTAAGTACTTCTACCATCAATGTAATTTCTAATATGGGTCTTTAGTTCACACTTTTAACAAAGTTTACAGTGTAAAATGGTACACCAGATCCTTGCTTTTGAAATTTAACTATATAGGAAATTCTAAAGTAGCTACCACTCCTTCTCTAGTTTATGATAGACAGTCATGTGACACTGTAAAGACAAACAGATTTACTATGGCTTACATTTCATGGATTTGAATCCACGTCATCAGATACAGAAATCCAGAATACCTCTAACAGAACCATTTGTTTGCATGAATGTTTGCTCAAATCAAGAGAATACCAGTACTTGAGAAGAGATTGTGACTTAAAATGGAAGACAGAACATTCTTTCTCTCAAAACCCAGAGAGACTAAGAATAATATCAACATTACATTCTTTACATTTCTGCTTACTTGTTTGAAAAGCAAACAATGCTACTACCTGGCAGTTCTTGGGCCACCTCACTCTGACAACCTACTATTATGTTCTCTTTTTTACCAATAGCTCAATCTGATTAATAATTACTCTCCTGGATTTCAAAATGTTGTCAGTGTACTTCAGCACAACAGTCTGGGGTACAAAACATTCCTTCTAGCTAGCTTTCAGTTATGTTGGTTTTGTTTCACACTGCTCAAATATCTGGAGATTTTTATACACATATGAGCACACACACAC